AGTCACTTTGCTTATGGCCTGTCTTGGGTGTGTTACTGGATCAGTCACAGCTCACTGATGTTGCTTTTTAGGTCACAATGGTGTAGATTTTGATCTCTCCTTCAGGAATCCTCCACTTGTGATGGCAGGTTTTGCAGTGGGTTTACAACTCACAAACTTCGAACAAAAAGAGTTCAGAGGAAAGGCGGAGAGATAGGATGAAGGCTGTCACTCTAAATTATCAACGTTATTTCTTTGACTGTTTGTGTTAAAATCTAATATATACTTTTCCACCCACAATTTGAGACATATGACCTCTTTCTGAAAATATTACACATTTGATATCTCCATTCAAGCAACTCAAGATCTTTTCAAAGGCAACATTTTTGCCTAACTGCAGTAGCTTTTTTTCTAAAAATCTCAAGAGATAAATATGTGTCCAGTCAATTCTTTTTAACTTGATAATTCTGATAACACATCTTCATATGTTACCTTTAACTTCCTTGGTCATCCACACATTATGCATCCTTATCCTGATTGTGGTGATATAAAGTAATGATGAGTATGTTACATTGGTCTTTGCAGTTGAGGAAGAGGATAATGTGCTTGACATTCCAATCAGGAATAGAGAGGGGGATCAAGGAGTGTGGAAGGGGATTAAATTAATTTAAGCAGGGGAGAAAGTGGGAACAGGGGACTGAGTTGGATGCGCAACCATGATCATATTGGCAGAGCAGGCTCAAAGGGCCTAATGGCCTTTTGCTATTTTCTGTGTTTCTATGTGTGACTCACCAAAAGCAATATAAGCAGAAGAACAGCAATGAAAAAAATAATGGCACTTCAAAGTGATAATCTCCAGGACCAGATGGTTTTGTTCCAGATTAAAGGGTGGTTTGATCCAAGTTTTCAATATACTAAGGGTGACTAATAGGGTACATAGAGATAAGTTATTTCTGCTGGTTGGGAATATGACAACATGGGACAAAGTCTAAAAATTAGAGTAAGGCTTTTCAGGAGTGAAATTATGAAACACTTCTATTTGCAATGGGGTGAAGAAGTTTGAAACTCTTACCAAATGGCGATTGATGTTAGGTCATTGTTAATTTTAAATCTGAGATTGATATATTGTGTCAAGATGATATATGGTTAAATATAGGTACTTGAAGTTAGGTGACAAATTGGCCATGATTTTATTCCATGGTGGAACAACGCTTAAGGTGGTAAATGGCCTAATTCTGTTCCAGTTTAACCGGAATCGTTAAGGTAATAAGAAAAGGGGAAGAAAAAGACAAATTTTGACATTCAAAAGGCCATCAATAAGGTTTGCGTCATAAACTAAGTTCAAAAATATGGAGCATGTGGTAAATAGCAGGATAGGAGATAAGTTGTTTACAAAAGCAAAAGAGAATTGGCATCTTAGATGGTTAATCAGATTGACAAATGGTGAGAAGTGGTGATCCACAAGAGGTGTGTTACTGTTGAGACTGATTGCATTCAAAAGTTATTTGAATTTCCAGTGACTGACTGGCAGGATTACAGAATGAAATTTCAAGTTGGAAGGTTTCTACTGTAAAAAACAAGCAAAAAACAAAAATGATATTTTTGTAGGCAACATAAATTCATTCTTTAAGTTTTAACATTATCAAAAATCCCTGCCATGGCTATACCTTGCAATGACCCTACAGTGGATATTTTATTTCTAGGAACAAACCCAAAGCTGTATTCTGCTCCTGAACCACTGCTTCTGTTCTCCTTTCCTAGCCAGATAGTTTCTATTGTAAGACTGACTTTCATTTTGAAGTTCACCCTGGAAATTCCTCTTTTAAATCAAAGCTAGGTGAGTGTTTCAGCCAAATCTTAAATCTTCATGAACTTGGTCACTTCAATCTCTCACCCAATTTCTGTGGTGAACAATAATAAAAATGCATAAAGGCGCATGCACAGTGTATGTGAGGCTGCCAATGGCAATCCCAGCAGCAACAATATGGGGGTGTATGCTGGAAGAAAATAAAAAATTATTGAGAGTCCAAAGTTACCCAGGATGGAAAGATTGTTTAGTCAAGAATGGGATGGAATTAATGGAAGGTTGGCAGTAACAAGAGTCAGAAGACGATGACATGGAAGGGATGGGGTGGGATGGGGATGGCATTTAAGGGAGGGGGATAGAATCATAGAATCATACAGTACAGAAGAGGGCCTTCAGCCCATCAAGTTTGTACCACCAAAAATATACTAAAAAAAAACCAAAAATAATACCGACATTAGTCTCACGTTCCCACATTAGGTCCATAGACTTGAAAGTTATGACACTTCAAGTGCTCTTCCAAGTACTTTTTAAAGATTGTGAGATTTCCTACCTCAACAACTCTCCCAGGTAGTGCATTCAAGATCCCACAACCCTCTGGGTGAAAAAGAATTTCCTCAAATCCCCTCTAACTCCCTTTTGCCTTCACTTTAAAATTAAACCCCTTCGATATTGACCCTTCAATAAAGGGGAACAGATGCTTTCTATATACAGTATCCATGCTCCTCATAACCTTATGCACCACTATCAGGTCCCCTCTCAACTTTCTCTGCTCCAAAGAAAACAACTAAGCTTATCCAGCCTCTTTTCATAGATGCAATGCTTCATCACAGGCATTATCCTGGTGAATCTCCTTTGCAACCCCTTCAGTGCAGTCATATCCTTCCTATAATATGGTGACCAGAACTACAGACAAAACTCCAGCTGTGGCCTAACCACTGTCCTGTACAGCTCCCTGTATCAATGCCACAACTGATAAAAGCAAGCATCCCATATGCCTTCTTACATACCCTATTAACCTGTCCTACCATCTTCAGGGATCATTGGGCAAATACCCAATCATCCCTCTGTTCTTCTAAAGTTCCTCTGCTTCCTAGAGTCTTGCTACTCATTAAGTTCTCCCTTATCTTGATACTTCTTCCAAAGTGCATCATTCACACTTGTCAGAGTTAAATTCCAGCTGCCACTGATCTGTCCATATGACCAATCCATTTATATTCTCTGGATCCTAACACCTTCCTCCTCAGTGTTAAACACCCAGCTAAACTTTGTGTCAAACACAAACATACGTATCATCACCCCACATTCTCACCTACATCATTTATGAATATCAGAAATAATAAGGGACCCAGCACTTTGAGCAGCGTAGTGGCACAATGGTTAGCACTGCTGCCTCGCAGCACCAGGGACCCAATTTGATTCCAGCTTTGGGTTACTGTTTGTGTGGAGTTTGCATATTCTCCCTGTGTCTGCACCAATTTCCTCCCACAGTTCAAAGATATGCCGGTTATGTGAATTAGCCATGCTAAACTATCTCATAGTGTCCAGGGATGTGTAGGTTAGGTGATTAGCCATGATAAATGCAAGGTTATGGGGAGAGGGTGTGTTGTGAGTTTGGGTGGGATGCTCTTCAAAAGGTCAGTGCAGACTCAATGGGTTGAATGGCCTTCATCTGCACTGTAGGGATTGTAGATGACTGATGTAAATGTTATGCCAATGCATACTGGGCTCCAGTCACACAGTCTCCTACCACTACCCCCTTCTCCTGTCACTAAGCCAATTTTGGATCCAACTTGCCAAATTACCCATATTCTGTGAGCTGTTACCTTTTTGTTTAATCAGTTTCCCATGTGAGACCTTGTCAAAGACCTTGTTGAAATCCATATAAACTATATCAATTGCCCCAATCTCATCCAAACATTTGGTCAACTTCTCAAAAATATCAGCCAGATTTGTTAGGCATGACGTCCCTCTGACAAAGTCATGCTGACTCTCCCTTAACAAACCATGGCTCTCTAAATGGAGATTAATTCTCTCCTTCACTCTTTTCTACAATATTTTCCCCACCATTGATGTCAGACTCATTGGTCTATAGTTGACTGGTCTATCTGTACCAGCCTGATGGAGATTATGGATTAAATGTAACAAAATGATAGAAACAATTATTTATTACAACTTTATTCTTTGTTCTATAAGAGAAAATACGAAGACTCATTACAATTGAATGAAGAAGTTTAAGAGCAGCTGGCAAATGAATTAAAAGAATATGTTATCAATTATTCTGTAGACAAAGAAGATGATAACATCTAGATCCTGCAGAGTTAAAGTCAAGGTAGCAGCTGCAAAAATGTTGCCCCATAATTTGAGTCCTAAATAGTGACACTGTCTTGGAACAAGACTATAGTTAAAAATATCCCCTGATGTCCTTTTGGGGAGGATATCTGTCAACTTTTGCTGGTCTTGTCTACATGTGACTCCAGATCCATTTAAACCTAATTGACTCTTAACTGCCCTCTGGGCAATTAGGAAAGGGCAATAAATGCCAACTTAGCCAGCCTGATCCATATTCCCATCAACAATTTTCTTTAGTAATAGATGCTGAAATTATTGTAGTTAAGATTTCAAGGAAATAAGAATGTTTATTCCTCAATTAATATTGAATCCTTTGCATGTAAACCTACCTTTTCTACTCTACGGAAAATAGTTCCCTGTCAGACTTCCACGTTTCACGATTATAAACAAATCAGAAGGCCAGATTGTTTAAAAATTTGCATTATAACCCTGTGACTGTTGTTAAGTTTTGGCATCTATATGTGGCTCTTCCCAGAGTGGCAATTCTCGATTCTGTTAAACTCTTTGGTGAAAGAATAACCTGAACTCCTGTATTTAAAGAGGTATTGTTGCAAAACACAATCTACTAATTTGAGAACAAGCATGTTGTCATGCAGTCTGTGCCAACAAAGTTTATTTCAACGTCATTCGTTGGAGGTCAATCAATTCTGTCCAAGGCGGAAATGGGGTTAGTGACATGCTAAAATACTCAATAGTCATGCCATGAGAAAGGCAATTTTCTGTATACAACGGTGTAACACAGGTGTGACATCAGATTGTATACTTTTAAATAAATCAAACACAAGAAAAGATCCCTCCCTTGCCAGCAGAATCTAATTCCTGTAAATGGAAGCGAACGAACACGTAATCCACGTCCTCTCAACAGTGAGAGGAAGTTGCCCCTCCACTGATCTGATTCTGTACATGTCTCAGGCGCATGGTAACATACGGCAAATCAAACAACTACACCACCGGAGGTGTTTGGTAGCGTCTTGGGACGTGCGAGTTTGGTGTTGCACATCAGACCAGGAAGTATCGTGAAATTTATAAGAAGGCGGGACATCTCTTTTACCAGCAAGCTTTCAATGAGTCGAGTTTGTTCACTCCCAGTTGCTAGTTCGCTTTGGCATTTGTTTTTTTTTGCAGCATTTGGATTGAAGCAGTTTGTTTGACCGTATAAAGCGAGATTAAGCGTTTCTTATCATGTTGACACGGGTCCTTTTGCTGCTTTATTGTGTATTTTTAGCCCGGTGTAAAGAGCATCATACTTCAAAGAGGCAGGTGGATGACCAAAAATGTTCCTATCAGGTAACAAACGGTGGATCTTTGATGATAATTTCATGTGAATATGTGAGGGTTTTTATGAAATGTGTAAAACATAGTTACTTTGTTGCTTGTGTAGAGATTTACACCCCACACCACATTTATGAGAACGGTTTTGAACGTTGTTGCTCTAGAGATGTCCCCAAATAGACGTGCTAAATTGGTATATGTTTGGTGCAGTGCGAGGCCACCTTGTTTTATGCTCGATGCTGGTTTCTAAGTTTGGACCGCGGTGATGTTGCTTCGTGCATGAAGCCAGCTCGCCCCTCTTTGAGACGGGAACGCTTGATTGGGCACGTAGGCAGTGCGATATATGAGCAAGCTAATACATGGGGTCAGAGTCAAGGCCAAGCACTAATCACAGGCCTCCCGCATGTAACCACAACTCGGGTTACTAATTTAAGGGCGTGTCTGTATGTGTGAGGACATCAACATATTGACAAACATGGTTCCAACCATAGTGGGTGAAATTTCCTTTTGTTCATAAAATACCCTATATATGTTGAAATCAATGAGTCACAAAATCAAGCTAGAAAGTTTTATCCCTACCTATAGGATAGCAGATATCCAACTGAACTTGTATGCAGAATTTTTGTCATTTTTCTGTCCATTTCTTCTGAAGTTACTAGCTGCTTGGGTAAGGGGAACCTGGCGAGTGTTCAGAACATTTTGACTGCGGAAGAGGCATCACAGTCATATCCAGTTCTATCTGTGAACATCCAGACCTGTTTAGTATGGGAGAGAATGTCAGCTTTCCTGCTCCTCTGATGCTGCTTGGCCTGCTGTGTTCATCCAGCTCTACACCTTGTTATCTCCGTTTAGTATGGGATACTGGATTGTGATCATGACCCAGATCCCTAACTAAACCTCACTCCAGTAGCTGTAGTCTTGATTCTGGCCAGGCTTTGCTCAGTTTAAGTATTGGTTGGAACCCATATTCCAGATGGTGCCGTGATGTGCATACTACAGAGCACCAGTTATATTCTGTGTTTAGTAGGATGAATATAGTTACCTACTGATAGGAGTAGGAAGGGTCTCAAAGATTCAAAACACCACCATGCATTTTTATATTTGATCTGATGTTGGATTGAAGTTGTATTTCATGCAATGCCCAATTGTAATTTGTTGGTACTGTCCTTTCTCTGCCAATGAGCCTTACTTTTATTTGTCCTGAGAAAATGATACCTTGTACTACCTATTCCCTGTCCAAATCTCTTCACTTCCCTCTTCTCCTCCTTTAACCTCTACCTCTGACCAAGCAATTCCTAATGCTATTAAAGGTTACCTGGTGCCAACTTTTGTCTGATAATCACTCCCGTGCCATTCTGTGAGATGTTTCATAATAAAAACAGAAAGTGTGTAAAAATGATGCTGTTCTGCCAGCCACCTTCATTTGGGAAGGTATACTGGATTCAAAACATCAACTGTGTTTCTCTCTCCACAAATGTGGCCAAATCTGTTGCATTCACTTTGTTTTTAATGCTGATCTCTGGCATCTACACTATTTTTCTTTTGATATTGGAATGTTTTATTGGATTATAGGCATAATATATATGCAAGTCCTTGAAGTCATTAAGGCAGAGCCCTGATTCCAGATTTGCACTACAATATCAACATTAGTATAAAACAACTTGCTTCTCAATCCTAAATTTGCATCAAAAAGTGCACAAAATGTTACTTCTCTTCCTCTTCCAAACGTTATGGCCAGATTTAGAAATTGGTGTTGCATCAACTGAAACTTACTGTGCTATTTGTAGTATCATTCAGTACCACAGCATACACTATAATGATTCACTGAGCAGCAGAGCACAAGATTCAAATAAAACAGAAAATACTGGAAACAGTCAGCATACCGAGCAGTATCGATGGAATGTTGCAGATCTGCAACTTTTCTTAGAGGGAGTGAGATGAGCTGAGTTGCTACTGCAAAGAACCAGCATGGACATGACTGGTCAAATAGCTATCTTCTGTGCAGTGATGATTCTATGATTCTGTAAAGTTTAATGTTTTAAAATTAGATTTTTGCTACTAGTGCTACAATAAAAAGCCACACTCTAAATGATTTCTAGTTGTATCAGAATGATATATTTGCCAAGCCTTCAATCATTTCAAACACGTCTTTAATGGGCAAACTAGATTAAATGGGTATGGGTACACTTAGTTGACATAAAAAATTAATAATTCCTTTAACTTGCTAGGTTTATGGATTGATAAATAATTTTCATTTCCTTCCTCAAAAGCTGATTGTAATGTAATAGGAAGTGCTAACTTAGTGATTAGTTACCAGAATAATAATTCAGAGGGTCATGTTAATGGCACTGGGAACATGGGTTCAAATCTTATCAATGAAGCTGGGGGAACTTGAATTCCATTAATAAGTCATAAAATTAAACTATAATTAATTGCTTTAAAATTCCGTTTGGTTCATTAATCTGATATCCATGCTGGATTAAGAAGCACAGCAATGCGGATAACTGTTGACTGCCCCTCTGCGGTATCTCAGTAAGCTGGTCAGTTCAAGGGAGATTAGGGTTGGGTAATAATTGACGCTCGCACCCAAAAACCCAAAATGTTGCTGCCATTGAGATCAGCAAACCCAATTCAAAACTGGACAATGAACAAACCTATAAACAAGGTGCATTCACTACCTTAATTAAAAACAAAGTCTACTTTACTGTTTCGTAGCTTGCTCAATTGTTTTTCTATTAAAGAAATTTGAAGACATCTAATATTCAGTTTCGATAATTGTTTAACTTTCTCTTTAGATAAAAGTACTCATGTAATGCAGTGTTGCTGCTAAATTTTTATAACTGATTCATCCCCATTTGGGATGAATATTTGCAACTGTCTTGTAGAGAGGCTTTTCTGTTTAATCTTTTCCATACAACTTATGAAGAAAATCAGCAATATCCCACAATGGGCATTGTCTGGACTCTTTCTGATTCCTTTTTGACCTAGTCCTTCTATGCAATGTCTGCGTTGATTTTGTTATTTTTGGTCCCCCTCAGACCTCTTAAGTGAAATTGAGGATTGCAAAACCTTCTATTTCAGCATATAATGGGTTGTTAGAATTTCAAAACATCATGTGGCTCGACTCAGAACTTCATCTTAGTTTAGGGATTCACTGAATCTTGTATTAGGCAATTTTTCAGTGCCACACACCACATCCTTCTTAAACAAACCTGCAGAAAGTTGAGTAAATTCAGTGGTATTATGATTCTTCAGTTCAGTATTCTGTTCTGCAGAGGAGTCAGACCTGTTGAGTTTCTCCAGCATTCTTCTCCTTAGTTTCAGATTACCAGCATCCCCCGTATTTTGCTTTCATTACCAAACTCCTCTTGCTCTGCTTCGTAGATTTAGTAGAAGTAAAAAATCTATTTTAATTGATGATTCCTTCAAGGTGCACAGCATACTTGAATATTATAAAACCATTCTTTTTACAAAATACCGACCTTTCCTTGATTGTTTAGTGTTGCATATGGAGTACATTGAGTGGTGATGAACTTAAACTATGTTGATAAGGATAAGATCTTACTTACAGTAAATATGGAAGTGACAGAAATCCATCTCATGATTATGAAGTTATAGGTTTTCAGTCTCAGTTTATCTACGTATTGATTTGAATCAGAAATTGTTTTTGCATGGTAAAATATTGTCATGCCTCTGTGATTTAGTATGCTGGAATTTCAGCTCCACTATACTCTGTCGTCACAAAAGTTAAAGATTTTAAAAAGGATACAGAATTTCCTTTTAGATCCAGGTTGACAGAAGGCATAGACCAGATTCCTGTGCCTAACAAAATTAATTATTTATCACAAATAATTAGAGAGTAGCTACAGGTAAACAACTACGAAGCATCACCATACAACAAATTAAAATTCTAACACCTTATAAACTCCCCCTTATACACCCAGACAAGGAAAACAAAACATAGGTGTTATGGATGGAGGGAAAACTGGGAAAGTTCACGGAATCTGCTGAGATGACTCTTCTGATTCTTGTGATGGTCAGAATGCTGTTTCCTAGTCTTCCTGGTCTTCAAAGGCTGGAGGCTTTTGCTGGTTTGCAGGAGGTATGGGGGACAAGTTTGCACTTATAAAAGGTTTCTGACTTTTATTAATTAAGTCACAGCTTACAGCAACTTCTAAAGGAAAAATACACTGGTTTTCTTTTGGATTAAAGTAGATTTTACTGCAGAGAACAGAAAGAGCTTCTGATCTGGTGGAGGTCTGAAGGCTTCTCTCTATCTTATTCTCTCAGCCTCAAGCTGCTCAGCTACCTGAGAACCAATCGCATAGTTGTGCGAAACAAAAGGACTTTGTCATTGATAACTGACCACTAGACCATAGACTACTCAGCTTCTTATTGCCAACTAACTCTCCATTTGCATGCAACCCTTCAGTGCCAGTTTGTCTACAAAGTATAATTCAATTTCTGCTTGAATAATCAGCAGTATAAATGATGCTTACGATGAGAGTTGGGTTCCTTGCCTTCCAAACTGCAGCAATCCTTGGTTTTTAAGTTCTTTTCTTATTTCTCTTCACCATTTAAAAATGCAGAAAAATACAAGGACAAGTTCTTTTCAATACAATCACAATAATACTGTTGAAGGGAGAATTAGAAGTAGTTCAAAGGCTGTTTTCAACTGAATTATCACATAAATTGGTTTTAAAAAACTAAACTACAAATGCATATTTTAGCAAATCTAATGAAAATATTATTATTCTGGGAATATTGGATATACCTGGACATGCTGATAATGGTACATAGGAAGAGGAGTAGGCCATTCAGCATAGTAAGCCTGCCCCACTATTCAAGATAATCATGAGAGCATTTCAATGCCTTTCAGCCACCCCATCCCCATAACCCTGTGCGCCCTTAGCATTCAGAAACCTATCAATTTCTATCTTAAACATACTAAAAGAATAAGCTTCCACAGTCCTCATGGTAGAGAATTCCAAAGGTTCACAATCATCTGAGTTTAAGAGAAAAACTCCTAATTTCTGACTTAAGTGGTATATCCCCTTATCTTTAAATTATATCCCCAGTTCTAAAATACTCAATCAGGGGAAACATGTTACCTGCATCTACCTTGTTATTCCTCAGTATTTTGTAGGTTTCAATGAGATTACCTCTCATTCTTCGAAACCCTAGCGAATAAAGGCTCAGTTTTCCAAACTTTTCTCCTTTGGACAGTCCTGCCATTCTGTGAAAAAATGTCTGATGAACTTTCACGCACTCCCATGATGGCAAAAATATCTTGTCCGAGATAAGGAGACTAAAACTGAAAATCATATTCCAGATGCAGACTAACCAAGCTCCTATATAATAAAAGTAAGAACACCCTACTCCTGTAGTCAAAGGCTCTTGCAAGAATGCTTTCCACTCTATTTACTTCTTAATCGCTTACTCAACTTGCATGTTAGCCTTCAGTGACATCGACAAAGGCACCTAGGTCCCTTTATACATCTATACTTTCCAATTTCTTACACTTTAAGCAATTCTCTGAAATTTTTTCTCATATTGAAGTGGAAACATCATATTTTTCCCTACTAAATTCTATCTGCCAACTTCTTGTCAGTTTGCAAAGCCTGTCTAAATCCTCCTGAAGCCAACATAAAATCTTCGTTCCATTACACATTCCTACATAGCTTTGCATTGTCCGCAAATTTGGAAGTATTACATTTGGTCCCCAACTTCATACAATTTCAAGCAGCCTTTTAGCCATAATTGACCTGCCTGTCTTCAGGTTGCAAACATTGAACACTTGTAGTGGATTAACAGCTTCCTTCTCTCTAGTCCTGGTGACATTCGAATGATTTGTTGCCCGAGATGCCTTGCTAAGTCATTGGGTCTTTTCACACTGGCCCAGTTGGCATGTTTGAAGGTGGAGATGCACGGGCATGTAAAGTCCCGTAGGTGGCCTTAACACAGTAATCTGAAGAAGGGTCCCGACCCGAAACGTCAGCTTTCCTGCTCCTCTGATGCTGCCTGGCCTGCTGTGTTCCTCCAGCTCCACACTGTGTTATCTCTGACCCTAGCATCGGCAGTTCTTACTATCTCTGATTAGGTGGCCTTTCTGTCATTTACCCATTCACCCCCAAACCTATCTGAGATTTTCAGGGCTGGGGAGGTGTCAGGTCACCTGCCCAACTTTGGGCCTATTGAGGTCCTTACGTTGTCAATAAATACACTCATCTGCGACTGTTAGTATTTTACCTATGTCATGCAGGAAGCCTGGCAGCTTCAGCTTCTTGAAACCAGCTCCCAGTCTCCTTGGTGAGGCCCTCAAATTACCTAATGCTTCTAGACGTGTTAGAATTACCTATGCTCCCAGTAGTAACCACCACTCCTGGCTGATACTGTTCGGACCAGAACTGGCAGCCAATCTGATTGGCCAGCAGCTTTCCAAGGTGGGACTTGCTAATGAGACAGGGGCCACTGAATTTAATTGCTTTAAACTGCTGCAACTGTGATTGTGCTTGGGCTAGGCAGAGACTGTGGCATCCCATAAAATCCAACCCATCAACTAAAATGACCTGCCCATTGATTTTTGTTTTAAAATTGAAAGTCCTAGGGCCTGACTTTGATTCAGCTAAAGTCCATTCAGTATAAAATTAAAATTGGGCTTTTGGTATCAGTTAATAGACATTTAGACAGTTGTGATGTGAAAATGTTCCCCGTATTAAACTTTCAAATTTGATTTTGATGGGAAATATAATTTACATCCATAAACTTGAGTCTCAATCTTTCATTATTCTTTATTTAAACTTTTGGCAGAGGGTTTATATTCTCACATGCAAATTACCCATATCCATCTGTTCATTGGAAATGGAGTGTTTGCATGTCAGTAAATTCCATGGTTATGGTCATTAACATCTATGCAAGCAATTCTGCATCGTGTGCTTCTTCTCTTTATCCCTTGCACAAAGGAAATACAAACGTTCACAAAGGTGGCTATTTACCTGCTAGGGGCAGCACATTGGCTTAGTGTTTAGCACTGCTGCCTCGCAGCACCAGTCACTTGGGTTTGATCCCAGCCTCGGGCAACTGTCTGTGTGGAGTTTGTACGTTCTCCCCATGTCTGTGTGGGTTTCCTCCAGGTGCTCAAGTTTCCTCCCACAATCCAAAGAAATGCAGGTTAAGTGAATTGACCATGCTAAATTGCCTATTGTGTCCAGGAATGGGCAGGCTAGGTGGATTAGCTGTGGAAAATGCAGGGTTACAGGAATGGGGTGGGTCTGGGTGGGATGCTCTTCGGAGGGTTGGTGCGGACTCGATGGGCCAAATGACCTGCTTCCATACTGTAGGGATTCTATGATTCAAAACAGACAAAGCATGCATGTTACAACAGAAATAATTGGCATTTCTTTTCCCAACAATACTGGTGAGAAATATAGCATTGTCCTATTACTAAGCATCGATTCTATCAGCCAATTCCTTAAAAACATTGAAAGTCATGCTTTGAGGCATACTGTGAAACTCAGGCGTTCTGCTCTTATAGCAAAATGGCAAATGTCGTACCTGCAGCAACCCGTTTCTAGTATGTAAATTTACAGTTAGAAATTTGACTATGGTTTTATGTAGAAACCGTGTCCTTTTGATACAAGATAAAAACCAAAAGAACTGCGGATGCTGTAAATCAGGAACAAAAACAAAGTTGCTGGAAAAGCTCAGCAGGTCTGGCAGCACCT